AAAGCAAGAGAAGGAGAGAAAGAGAGAAAGAGAAAGAAAGAAAGAGACAGAGAAAGATTGAGAAAAAAGAAAGATAGAGAGAGAGGGGGGAAAAAGAAAGCAAAGGGAGAGAGAAAGAGAGAGAAAAAGGGAGAGCAAAGAAAGAGAGACAGAGAAAGAGAGACAGAGAAAGACCGAGAAAAAGAGAGATGGAGAAAAAGGGTGAAAGAAAGAAAGCAAAGGGAGAAAGAGATGTAGAGGGAAAGAGAGAGAGAAAGAAAGAGAGAGAGAGAGAAAGAGAGATGGAGTGCGCGAGAGAAATAGAAAGAAAGATAGAGAGCAAAAGAGAGAGCAGAGAGAGAGAGAGATAAAGAAAGGGAGAGCAAGAGAGGGAGGAAGAGAGAGAGAGAGAATGAATGAAAGAAAGAAAGAAAGATGAAATGAGAGAGAGAGAGAGAGAGGGCTCGAATAGCCCAATATAGTTCAGCTTAGGTATTTCCACCTCCGATCTCTTCAATTCCTTTGCCTGCCTCTTACCTTGTAAAGTAGCCACAAGCCCTGTGCTGATGCCCGAAATCACATCATTGAGGAGCCATTCCTTCACCCTATATTTGGGCAGCCATTCCAAGATAGGGAGGAACGTCTTGGTGGCCTTCAAGGCTTTTTTCCTCGAACAGCTGCCGAAGACAAGTTACAGCCAGTTGCCAAAATAACCGGCGCCCTCGGCCCACAGCTCTTGGGTCAACCCTTCCCCATCTTGGCCAGCCGGCCCTGTTAGTTACCTGCAGGATTTCCGGACTCGCTCGCGGAGCGTTTTGGGCACCACCAGCTTCTTCTCATTCTCCTCCTGGAAGCTGGGTTCGTTGTAGATGGGCCGGCTCACCAGGTAACGATCCGGGAGGCCCCCCTCGGCCCTGCCTCTGGCTGCCATGGCCTTTCCCTCGCCTGCTGCAAAGATAGGGAAGGAGACAACCAGTGCTTCCCAAAGCAGACTCAGAAGACACAGGCAGCCATCCATCCAAGGACAATGTGCACCCCGAATCCAGCCTACGCGTGGGACTTTTGCAGCCCTTGGGCCAGGACAGCTCCTGCCCACGGCCTATCGGGGCCCCCTCTCCTCCTCCTCCTCCTCCTCTGTCTGGCCTGAGGCTCTTTGCCATCCGAGCGAGGGCAAAAGTGCTGACCAGAAGCTGGTGTTCCCAACCAAGCTCTTTGCTTTCTCTTGGAGGAGTTGAGGAAATGTCAGGTTTCCTTAAGAAAGGGGGTGAGATGGAGGGAGAGGGTGCTGAGGGGCAGGAGTCTTGGGGGGGGGGAGAAGGATGCTGAGAGGCAAGAGGGGCTGGAGGGGGGGGGCGAGTCAAGGGGACCTGAGGGTTGAGGGGGTCTGAAAGGAGCTGGGGTGGTGGTGAAGGAGGCTGAGGGGCAAGGAGGGCTGAGGGAGGATGGGAGGCATAGAAGAGCTGAGGGACAGGGGGCTGGGGGAGAGGGAGGCTGAGGGGGGGGGGCTGATGTGAAAAAAAGTGGGGCCGTGAGGGGTGAAGGGGACTGGGGTTGAAGAGGGTTGAGAAGCAAAACTGCCTGGGGCAAGGGGCCCTGAAGGGCCTTAAGGAGTGAGGAGTTCTGGGGGGGGCGAGGGGTTCTGAGGAGTGTAGGAGCGCTTTGATGAGCAATCTGGGGAGGTGAGGGGGGCTGAGAGGAAAAAAGAGCTGGAGGGCAAGGGGGCCCTGAGGGATGGAGGGGATTGTGGATGAAAAGGGCTGAGAGGCAAAGGTGCTGGGGCAAGGGGCGCTGAAGGGCCTTGTGGGGTGAGGGTTTCTGAGGGGTATAGGAGGGTTTTGGGATGAGTGGTCTGGGAAGCTGAGGGGGCTGAGAGGAAAAAAGGGCTGGAGGGAGAGGGCACTTCAGGGGCCCTGAGGGGCGAAGGGGGTTGGGGGTCAAGGGGGTAAAGGGGCTATGACAAGGGACCCTGAAGGGTCCCAAGAGGGGGATGAGGGGCATAGGAGGACTGAGGGGGTCCTGAGAGGCAAAAGGGGGCTGGAGAATGCGGGGCCCTGAGGGGCGAAGGGGGTTGGGGATGAAGGTGGTTGAGACAAGGGGCCCTGAAGGGCCTTGAGAGGTGAGGAGTTCTGAGGGGTGAGGGGTTCTGAGGGCTATAGGTGGGCTGAACGGTCTGGGGAGGTGAGGGGGGCTGAGAGGAAAAAAGAGCTGGAGGGCGAGGGGGCCCTGAGGGATGGAGGGGGTTGGGGATGAAGGGGACTGACAGGCAAAGGGGCTGGGGCAAGGGGCGCTGAAGGGTGAGGGGTTCTGAGGGTTATAGGAGGGTTTTAGGGTGAGCGGTCTTGGAGGCTGAGGGAGGCTGAGAGGAAAAAAGGCCTGGAGGGAGAGGGGACTTCAGGGGCCCTGAGGGGCGAAGGGGGCTGGGGATGAAGGTGGTTGGGACAAGGGGCCCTGAAGGGCCTTGAGGGGTGAGGAGTTCTGAGGGGTGAGGGGTTCTGAGGGCTATAGGTGGGCTGAGCGGTCTGGGGAGGTGAGGGGGGGCTGAGAGGAAGAAAGAGCTGGAGGGTGAGGGGGCCCTGAGGGATGGAGGGTGTTGGGGATGAAGGGGGCTGACAGGCAAAGGGGCTGGGGCAAGGGGCGCTGAAGGGTGAGGGGTTCTGAGGGGTATAGGAGGGTTTTAGGGTGAGCGGTCTTGGAAGCTGAGGGAGGCCGAGAGGAAAAAAGGGCTGGAGTGAGAGGGGACTTCAGGGGCCCTAAGGGGTGAAGGGGGTTGGGGATGAAGGGGGCTGGGGCAAGGGGCCCTGAAGAGCCTTGAGGGGTGAGGAGTTCTGAGGGGTGAGGGGTTCTGAGGGCTATAGGTGGGCTGAGCGGTCTGGGGAGGTGAGGGGGGCTGAGAGGAAAAAAAGGGCTGGAGGGTGTGGCGACTGGGGATGAAGAGGGCTGAGAAACAAAACTGCCCGGGATAAGGGGCGCTGAAGGCCCGTGAGGGGTTCTGAGGGGTATAGGAGGGCTTTGGGGTGAGCGGTCTTGGAAGCTGAGGGAGGCTGAGAGGAAAAAAGGCCTGGAGGGTGAGGGGACTTCAGGGGCCCTGAGGGGCCAAGAGTGTTGGGGCAGCCCCCCCCTAAGAGTCCCGAGATGGAATGAGGGCCATATAGGAAGGCTGAGGGTTGCTGGAGAAGGGGGCTGGAGAATGAGGGGCCATGAGGGGCAAAGGGGGAAGGGGATGAAGGGGGCTGAGAGGCAAAAGGGGGCAGGTTCCCCTGAGGGTTCCTGAGGGGAGGATGGGAGCGCTGAGGGGAGAGGTGGGGGGGGAGAGCTAGGAGCTGAGGGGGCTGCGTCGCTAAGAGGCAAAACGGGGGGCTAGGAGAGCGAGGGGGGCTGAGGGGCAACCGGGGCAACTATTTCCCTCTCTGGGCGCGCAAGTGGAGGAGACGCATCCCAGATCCCCCTCACGCCTCACTCCCAGAATTGCGCCACATTACTTTCCCGGACACCCAAGCCCCCTCCCCACCTCTAGTTTGCTCAGCCGCGTCCCTTCCCCTCCCCTCCCTCCCTCTCAGCCAAGCCCCGCACCCCGCGCCCGAATTGGGGGGTCCCGGCTCTCCCCTCGAGCGCTGTCCGAGGTCTGAAGCGCGCCCGGCTTCTCCTCCTCCTCCTCCTCAGGCGACCCTTCCCCACCCGGGGACCCTCGGAGTTTCCCCTCGGCGGCTCTTTACCTCGCCCTCCTCCTGCGCCCGGAGTCCCAGCTGTCGGCCAAGCGGGGTGACCCCCGTGGCAGCCGCTTTTATACGGCCATCCCCGCCTCGGATGCTTCGCCTTTATTTACAGGCAAACAGAGCCGCCACCGCCTCCTTCTCGCCCGCCCGGCCCTGAACTTCGCTGCCCGGTTTACGGTGGGCTGGGGGTGGGGGGTGGGGGTGGGAACCTGGGGGACCCATAACTGAGAATTGGGGTTCGCCCCTCCCCCTTGGGAAGCAGCCCCCCCCTCTTTCCCACCCCTTGGAAAGTTGGCTGAATGACCCTCTTCTCCCCCCCCCAGGATCCAGTACCCAAATATGAGGAAGGGGCTCTTTGGTACTTAAAACTGGGAAAAGTGGGGAGGGGGCACAGCACACGTATCCTTTTTTCCAGTTTTAAGTAGGATCTTCTCCAAGATCCAAAGAGCCCCCCCTTTTCCCTTTTCCACTTTGGGTTCTGAACCCTAATGTGTGTGTGTGTGTGTGTGTGTGTGTGTGTGTGTGTGTGTGTGTGTGTGTAGATTCTCAATCATCCAAGTCACAATTTGCTCCCCC